GATTTGGAGAAAAATGGAAAAAGAAAAATGGAGAAGATGGAGAGGAAGAGAGAGCATCAATGGAGGATAGGGGGTAGGGTTTTCGTCTCCCGAAGGAGAGATAATTTTCTATCGAGGTCTCGTTCACGTATTTATAGGTAGCACAGCTCCACAGCGTGAAAGGGAGTAGCGCGGCGCGAAGCTGCCAGGTTACCACGCCGCGAGGAGTTGCAGCGGCGTGATAGATGCCCATGCTCGCCGTGGTGAAGTGCAGCGGCGTGATGGGAGCGCGTGTCACGGCGTGGAGGTAGGCGTGCCGTGGTGCTGCCTTGGGACGTCTCTGTTGACGCGTGACAGTCCCCGCGAGATGGCGCGCGCCGTGAGGGAAGCATACTGCCGCGGCGTGGGTGGTGTCGCGGCGCGGGGCGTGGAGCAGGGTCTCAGTCGGTGTCGTGGCGCTTGTCGCGGGCTCGGTGTGCACGCGACGGTCTGTGAGCTGCTTGCTTCCGTGCATGTCTTACGTCTCGGGCCCGTTGAACTCATTTGAACTCGGAATTTGATTCCGTTTTCTCCTGTGTGAGGCCGACGAAACGCTCTATTTGATTATGCTTGTATGGTCAGCTTGTGCCCAAAATTCAATCCTTCTGAAGCTTCCGACCTACACACCATAAACAAGGAAAAACTGGAAAAATATACGGAAAACACAAGGAAAACTAAAATAGAGGAAAACACTCAATAAACTATAAAATAACCTAAAAACCAAGGAAAAGATCTAATATGGGGAAAAAGAAAGGAAAAATAACAAAGAAAAACGCAACAAAAATAGGACAAACAATGAGCTTTTATTTTTATTTTATAATATGATATAAATAATTGATCTATATTGATTTAATTTTTCAAAAATGTTCAATCATATTTATTTTTACCTAATATGTTTCTATTTTTATTTTATTTGATGTGATATTAATAATTTTAAAATTAGACTTTCCATAATTATAAGGTTATCATAGGCTTACTAAAATTGAATTACAAATAATGGTTTAATACAAATATTATCTCCGCTCGGTTCTTACACATGTTGGTATCGACTCATCATCAATTACATAATCAATTAATTAATTTTAAATTTTAAAAGTTATTACATTTATTACTAGTATGTAACCCGTGCGATGCACGGGCTGTATTTACTTTGGAGAATATTAAAAATTAAGATGTATTAAAAAATAAAAGAGTGATAATTCGTAGAAAAATTATCAAACCATAAAATATTCCTCATGCAAAAAAATATATTATTTAAAATTTCTTGTACACACCATTATTTGTTCAATAACTGAGCAACTCGTCGTCCCCACAAACTAATATTTTCAACACTTTTCTATTACTTACACGCGAAACAAATAACATAATTGTCCGTGACTAAAAATCAATTTTTTTAAGAACATGCCACCGTCAATAAATGTTGACCTTGACTCTTCTTGATATATTACTTAACATGCAAACATACAATAAATGTTGACCTTGACTCTTCTTGACCTATTACTTACACGCGTAACAACATACAATTGGTCGTGATCAAAAAAGATTTTTTTAAGAACATGCCAATGCACATCTCTTATCTATTACTTACACGTAAAAACAACAACATATAATCGGTCGTTGCTAAGAACTGATTTCTTTAACTATATGCCAATGCACATAAAGACTAACTCTGATCTTAAAAGAGACCTTAAGATTATAAGTAATTGGTGCTCTAGAACTTAAATGAAATCCTAAGATGGATCTTTTTATATTATGATAATTTACTTAGGCAGTCAGACAATGAGCTGTTAGTTTAATATCGATTATACTTGATTAGCTATATAATATTCACTAATATTTCTATCTTTTTTATACAAAAAGACCGACCATGACTGTTAAATGGAACCTCAAAATCAGAAGGAACTGGTGCCGCTGGAACTTAAATGGAAGTCTAAGATAGATCTATTTATAATATGATAATTTATAGAACAGTTGGACAAATGAATTGGTGTATATCTACAAAAATATGTATGAATAATGCAAAATATTAAATATTACATCACACTAATTTTATGAGAGAGATTATATATTGTAGGTATAAAATATAAAACATTAGTGATTAGACATTACTTCAGGCTAATTTTTTCAAGCCGAACAATTTTTAATTGAATGTGTGATAACTTGTTATATATTTTCAATTTGAACAATTTTTAATTGGACAACTTTCCTATTATATGTGTGACAACTTTTTAGGTAGTATATATATATATATATATTTTTTGCAATAACTTTATATTTTGTGTATACGAAAACAAAAAATCGATTTACTAATTTTGAAAATTTTCCTTTAAAAAACAATTGACAAAAAGAATACCAATAAAGGGAATTAGTGTATATCTAAAAAAAAGATTTGTATATATCTGATATAAAATCGTTCATTCTCAAAATCTGCTACAATGAAAAATATATTTAAATATTAATATAAATATATTTAGATATTAATATAAATTTAATTTTGTAATTGTTGGTTCTAATAAATATGAAAAAATAAAAAAGAATCTTCACAAATGAGAATTCCAAAATTGACGCCATGGAAATTTAAATATTACTATAAAATTGTTTTTTTTTTGTGTGTGTATGTAACATATATGCTAATTCAAATCAATGATTCTAATAAATATGTTAAAATAAAAAGAATCCTTGATAAATAAGAGTTCCAAAATTGGCTACATATAATTATTTACATAATATTTACCTACAAAACCACTATCAACGTAATTAAAGAAAATCAATAATTTACTAAAACAAACACAAACTGAAAATCGAGTTAATTATATGAAAATTATGCAATTAATGATTTATTTTTTATTTAGATCATTTTATATTATTTCCATCTATAGTAGGTAATTAATGTTTTGGGCGGAAAATGCTCATAAAATATTCGGGTATGAAAAAATCATATATTATTAAAAACTTAATTGTAAACAACATTATTAGTTTGATTATTGGGCACACTACCATAAAATAATAAAATTCCAATAGAAATTTATTCCAAAAGAAATTATTCAAACGACAATTCCAACAGATATTTCGATACTATTATTTTCGTTGGAAATTTTCAATGGATTCCAACGGAAATTCCAACAAAAATATTCCGTTGGAATGAATTTTCCATTGGAATTTCCGTTGGATTTTGACGATTCCAACGATGGATTTTTCAACGGGGTGGAAATAAAAATTCTAACGGAAATTCATACGGTAAAAAAACCATTAGAAATATAGCAGTTGAAATCATCAAATTTCTAAGATTGACACTCACTCTTGTTTATCGTAATGACAATATAAATTAATGTTTATCTAAAAAACTTAATCTTTGAAATATAATGATCGTGTGTTATTTTTTAATTTCGTGATTGATGGACTCTTTTATTAATTAGTTGGTTTGAATCAATATATAACAAATTTTGTTGTCAATCGTTATTAGAGTTTTTAAATTAATTTGTGTAAATGCATAAATAAAAAGAGACCTAAACTATGAAAATTTTTTCATCTTTTGAAATCAAATAAATGACAAACACTATCTTTTAAAATAAATAATGATAATAATTATAACATTGTATTATGAAAATCGATAAGGTATATAAAATTCGTTTTCCTTTTCAAATCGATAATGAAGAAAAAAGTCTAATTAGTGAAAATATAATATATACAAATCATGATTTTAGAAATCTGATATATACAAATCTTAGCATGCGGTTTCAAACAATTAATAATATAATAATATACTAAATGAATTATGATTCAGATTCATGAAAAGAAAATTTTGAACAGATTTCTAAAATCATGATATATACAAATCATGATTTTCCTTGGAGATTTATTTGGATTTCCAAATTGTTTGAAAATCACGATTTCTAAAATCATGATTTATTCGGATTTACATTCGGATTTCTAAATTGTTTGGAAAAATAGGAGATTATTCGGATTTTGATTCCTTATTAGTTACCAATATAAAAGTATTTCATGTTATTAATAAAAAAAAGGAAAAAGCTGATTTACTATTTTAGGAGATAATTAATGAAAGTGACGGGAAATTGTTTCTAAATTTGATTTATGTTAATCCTTATTATATAGGATTAACATATATGTTAACATATATGTTAAAATATAAGTAACGTATATATTACTTTCACGTAAATACTAACATATATAAATTATTTCTAACAATTATTAGAAATATGATTGATTCTTAAAAAGAACATTTAATTGACAATTATTAATTAAATATTTATATTGTATTTTAATAATTATTAAAAATACATATGGTAAGTGTATTTCTTAAATTAAGTGTATTAAGTATGGTAAGTGTAT